AAAGAGAGTAGACCTCTCCAAACCCTAGATAGATTTCACTGGGAAATTTTACCTGGTAGCTTTCAGACAGACAGATAAATAGGGTAAGGGATCTTGAAAATGAACATTAAAAAACATACACAAAAAAAGCAAAAGTGAACATTAGATTTTGGAAATGGAAATTATCTTGAAGACGACTGAACCAGTTCTTTAACTGGTGCTTCTTTCTTCCATGCAGATCTTGTTCTAACTTGCAATTTTGTCCCTCCCCCAACCCTCACCCCCAACCACTACAGCATTCCCAATATAAAAGATTACTCCTTTCAACCTTGGCAGTCTTTGCCAAGAAAACCCACACAGGCTTCACAAGGGAAAGACAGAAAGTGAGAGACAGCCTTCTAAAGATAAAATCCAGTGACCAAATGAAAATGAAAACCTCCAGTTATTCTCAGGCATGTGAGCGAATTAAACCAGACTTGACTTGGAGAACTGTGCCCGGCGGTGAGAGAGGAAGGACTCGCAGGACCGTCCCCACAGCACAGTTCGGCAGGAAATCCGAGGACGAGGCCTCTTTCAGCCTGCCTGCGCCCTGTGAGCTGACTGACTCTAGCCCCGAGCTCAGCACACCTCGTTTTCCCCGCCTGAAGCTGTGCCCTCAAACGCCATCCGCCTCAGCTCTTGTCTCAAGAGAAGGAGGCTCCTGTCCCTGCCCCCCTCAGGGAAAGGCAGGTAACGAACACTCTTGGGACCAGTCAGGGTAGATTTGTACACGTGGCCATAAAAGCATAAACGAAGGTCTCTGACTGCATTAGCCCTGAGGCTGCTCCTGATGGTGTTTTTCACGTTTTGTTTGGCAAAATTGAAAACATAAAGACAAGTTTGGCGGTTTTGCCAGCTGGCTCAGGCCCTGGGTTGTGATTAGAGGGTATTTGTCTCCACACAGAAGTCTATAAGGACGGTCCCGTCACAATGCCCAGCACACTCTGGGGCTGGGCAGGGCGGCCAAGGCGGAGGGATAGGGGGAGGCCGGCTGCTCGGTCCCGCTCCACGTTAACGAGCTCAGACAGCGAGCCATTTCCACTCTGGTTTTTGGGGTCTGATCTGTAAAGTGAATGGTTTGGAATCATCTCCACAGTCGCTTTCAGCTGCCATGCTCTTGGATGAGGAGATTTATTTACAGGTAGAGGGGCCCCCTGGGCGCTCTGTTTGTTCTCAGGGCCTCCTCCTCGTGGCCTCCCAAACCTGCCCCACCTGTACGATGCTGTGGCTCCTTGGCCGTGGGTGACAGAACAAAGCACACTGCTGAGTGTCCATGTTCAGTTTCATTAGGTAGCGGGCTGCTCGGAGGCCGCTCCGTGACTATTTTCGTACATACCCTGACCCCCTTGCCTCAGCTCGTTTTTCTCATCCTTGGCCTGCCTACATCTGGAATCGATGAAGCGTCATTTTCCTGCTGCTCTGAGAACTGTTGTCATCCTCTCTCCAGTCTTGGCCCAGATGTCCGGAGCCGTTATTCCGCCCCGCGGAGGGGATGGCTGTGCTCTCTCTTCTGAGCGGCCTTTTCCAGGGAAACATCGAATGGCTTTCTGAGGTCTGCACTCCCAGCAGCCCCAGAGCGCTGTGCTGGGTCTCAGAGGGGTAAAAAGCCCGAAGTAGAGATCTAATTCAGCCCACCCTCGCCCCTGGGCTTCTTCCATCACTTTTCCAATCCAGAAACTGAGACTCAGGGAGACGTGACACATCCCAGGGGAGACGGGCTGGGAAGCACGTCCTGGGGGCCGGCCGCGCCCTGCCCCTACCGAGCAACAAGCCAGCGCTCTGCCTCACTTCAAAGGCTACAAAAGTCTGTGATTATGATGTTACATAATGGCAAACATTTAGGCTTGTCTTTGTAAACTGCCCTCTTTGGTTCCCTCAGAGGAAGGTGTAGGCAGGCGCCGTAGGCATACAACATGATTGGACTCCGCTGGACTCCGGTTTCCTTGACTTCAAGTAGGAAAAGGCACCTGGCGCTTTCTGTCTCCCAGGAATGTGAACATAAGTAGGAAGTAATGGGTTGCATTCTTCCAGGCCATAGAATCATTCCAGGGACCATGCATTTTGTGTGCAATTGTGCTTACGCTTCTGGTTTTCCGCTCGTCTGAGGCTTTCAGTAAGTTTGATTCATATATCTTGTTATTCAGAGTGATTGTAAAACGTGCATTCTAAATTTTACAAAATATCTGTTCCTGACACTACAGATTATTTGACAGCTTAAAAAGCCTTAAAACCATTGCTCCACACACTGGAAGTAGATATTGTGGGATGGAACTAATGTGATTATTGAAAAGTTGACTTGAAACAAAAATCAAGATTAAGCATTTATAAATTGTTAATATCCCAAGATTAAGATATGGCCTATATCCATATGGAAAACCTATCATGAATAATTATCAATGTCTTTGAAACTGAAAGGGAAGGCAAAGGATTTGGAAGGAGGTAGCATGTAAGCTGAGGAATTAAGACATTACGTTAGCATGCATTCTAGCCTTTTTTAAATCCATGCATTGCCTTCAGCATAATCAGTATTATGAGACATTTCTTCAGTGGATTAATACAATGAATTATCCTTCACTTTACAGTTTCTCATTTTAATGAAACCAGGGTTGGACAAGATAGAATAGGAAAGGCGTTTATTCGGGGAAGTCTGTAATTACAGCACACTTACCGCGGAGACTGCCCACGCTGCACCAGATGAAACACATGCAGCCACAGTTCAGGCTCTCGGTTCTCACATGTGGTCTGAAGACACGGTCTATCGGCATCATCTGCTGCTTCAGAGGCCCCACCCATAGCTGTGGGACCAGACTCTGCAATTTAACGTGACCCACAGGTGATTTGGTTACTCAGTAAAGTTTGAGAAGCACTGATTGTGCAGCTTTCAATTTTATTCTATCCCATTGGCCCGTGACAGAACATTATACCTTCATATCTAATGTGCCTAACAAAGCAGCCTATGCAGCGGATGCTGCAGTAACTCTGTCCTTTGCTGAATCCAGTTATCCCTTACTATTTCCCACCCTCCCCACAAGTTATTTTACAGTTACTTTCAATTGTATAAAATGTATAACCTGTTTGCTTGACTGTCATAAAGATGATTGTTCCTGCTTTGATTTTATGCCTGAAAGTAATTTGTAATCTTATGATTCCTAGTGTTCTTGTTTTATCCGGAATACCTTTTGCAAATTAATGTTTGGGAGGGAAAAGTAAGGCTATTAGCCAAGAGCAATGATTGCTTGTTTCTAGTGTTAACGGAGCATTCACTTTGAATCTTAATCAGAGAAATTAAAATAAGGGAGATTTATTTATTTATTTATTTATTTATTTATTTATTTATTTATTTAGAAAAAGCAGTGTAATTGATAATTAAACTTCTGTTAATTCAGCCATTTTCATCCTGAAATTTATTTTCACCATCCTGTCTGTCTAATGAATTTCGGTTATCTTAAGAATAATTTAACTCTGCCACATCCTGCTATTTAAAGTCATTGGTAGTTACACTGATTCTTTGTTTCTTCTCTCCAGTTTTCTAATAAGCTAAAGAAAACAAACCCAGTGAAATTTGCAGTATTGGCTCTGCACTTTATAGCTGTGCCTGCCTGCATTGATCCCGCAGTGCTGTCTCAGGGAGCAGTTAGTACCAGGCAGAACCAGGGCCCATCCTTGAGAATGAGGGCGAGCTCACGGCCAGCGTCCCTGGGCTCACAGAGGACCCGCTTGCATGGCGGTGCCACTGCAGTATAATCACACCTCACATGACTGGATACCGTTGGGTTCCATCTATTATAGAAAGGAAGGACAGGCGGAACAGACAGAATATGCTAGACGGAAAGGGAACTCTTTCATTGAAAACCCATGATGCGGTGATATTGCCGTCTCTCTAAAGATACCTGTGTCCCTTAAGTAGATAGCGTTTGGTTATTGGGGCTTTTGAATGCCCACATTTAGAGAGGAAGTGGAAGAGAGAAGGAGTCTTTGCCCTTGAATCCCTCAAACGCAACCCAGCGGGGCCAGGCAGGGAAGGAGAGTCAGTTCTGAAGCGCACCATCAGCAGAGAAGACCAGACTCCTCAGATGCCAGGGCCTTGCTCATCCCAGGAGTCTGGGCAGCCAGAGTCAGAGGTTGGGGAGGGCCTGGAGTCTCTAAGAAAACAGGAGATTCAACCAGGGGAGTGACATGGGATGGAGGAAAGGGTAGACTTACTAGCTAGAGTGTCAACAGCCTGAGCCAGCTACTGGGATGCAACGGAACTGGAAGAAACCCTGCTCAGAGCCCCTCCTTGTCTACTCTTCAGAACATAGTCATTCCCAAGCGTGGCAGGGGGTGGGACACGGGCCAAAGCATAGTCTCCGGGGGCCTTTTAGAGAATCCCGGGGCAGGCAGAGGACACTAATGGAGTCGTTGACTAGTTGAGCCCTTGGGTTCTGAGCCAGCCGCACCATAGATGGAATTCCAGCTCTCCCCTGATTAGCTCTGTGACCTTTGCCAAGTTGTTAAACCTTTCTGATCTCCACCTCCTCATCTATAAAATGATGGCGATATTAATAGAAACCATTTCATGGGGATGAGATCAGAATTGGGAGAAGTACTCTGTGCTTAATGCTTGGCAGAATCCGTCATTAAGGAAACGCTCAGTGATGTCAAATTTTCTTTCATGACTGGGACCTAATTTTATTCAGAAGAAAAATTTGGGCTTTTGCCCAACTCAGAAAATTGCAAGGTAAGCAAAGTAACTTTGATTGTAATTCTAGACATCAGCCTATTTTAAGGACATTAGGATTCTAATGCAGACCCACCCTGTTTTCATTCCATTTGAAAGACTAGCATTTTAATTTATGATGCACATAAAATGTTGTCATCCTACTTACCCATTTCTTCCAAACACAAATGAAAATTTGCGATGACAACAGGTTGTTTGGAAATCAGAAAGCCATGTTTTTAACGGGTTCTCTTTTCTCCTCCCCACTCACCCTATCCGGAAGAACTCCTTGACCAGAAGCGCACCCCTTCCCAACGATTCCCAGGCCCGCAGCGGGGCCCGATTCCACACATCCTACGACAAGAGATACATCATCAAGACCATCACGAGTGAAGATGTGGCTGAAATGCACAACATTCTGAAAAAATACCACCAGGTAATTTTTCTTTATATTTGAAACTCTGACAAGGTTAACATTCATGACTTCTGGTCATCAAGGCCAAAGACTTAAATATTAAATATGTCGTCAGGAAGTGATGAGAACACATTTGGCATCAAAACTGCCTCTAGCTGGGCTTTTTATTTATTTTGCTCTTTAAAAAGTATTTTTATTTTTTTTATTTTAAAATATATTTTATTGATTTTTTTACAGAGAGGAAGAGAGAGGGATAGAGAGTTAGAAACATCGATGAGAGAGAATCATCGATCAGCTGCCTCCTCCACAACCCCTACCGGGGATGTGCCCGCAACCAAGGTACATGCCCTTGACCGGAATCAAACCTGGGACTTTTCAGTCTGCAGGCCAACGCTCTATCCACTGAGCCAAACCGGTTTTGGCTAAAAAATATTTTTATTGATTTTCCGTGAGGAAAGGAGAGGGAGAGATAGAAACAACCAATGATCAGAGAGAATCATTGATCGGCTGCCTCCTGCATGCCCCCTACTGGGAACTGAGCCTGCAACCTTGGTATGTGCCCTGATCAGGAATCAAACTGTGACTTCCTGGTTCATAAATTGACACCTCGCAGGTCAGGCTAGCTAGGCTTTTTAAAAAATACTGTGGCCAGATTACTCAGTTAACATTCAGGAATGCTTATCCTCTGAAGATGATTAGTTATTAATAAGATGCTTTTAATCTAAATACTCTTCTGTTATAGTAGTTTCGATGCTTGCCAACATGATTTTAAAATCGCTCAGCTTAAGATTTGGCAGCATTTCAAAAGTTTTTTGCACACGTCAGAAATTAGGTGTTGACCTGTGAATATTTATCCATTTACACCTCCAAATCCTATCCTGCTTACCTGGTTCCCAAAAGGCCTACCCCCACTCAACACCCTGGACAGTCCTTTCATTTTCACCCTTCAGCATTACTCCTTCATAATCACCCAAGGAAAGAACGAAATTACTCTTGGGAGCAGCAGTCCTTTCCTTCTTCCCTCCCTCCCTCCCTCCCTCTCTTCTGTTCCCTCCCACTCAAAATGAATAAATTGCACTGCAAGTTGCCTGGTGGAGCGCATGCTCCCAGGTCCTAGTGGAGCTGTGAGATGCCTTACTGACTCTGTAGTAAGAGCATGAAGTCCAGTGTCAGACAAACCCAGGTTCAAATCCCAGCTCTGCCACGTACTAACCATATGACTTCTGGTCTTTGCAGCCTCTGTGTTTCCATTTAGACAGTGGAGATAATAACAACAACAAAAATGAGTCCTAAAGATTAAACGGGGGGAGCTGGGGGAGGTCTGTACCTCAGGTACTTAGCACAGCGTCTGCCATGCTCAAGGTGCTCAGTACAGGGTGATGGTAGTTGTTACCAAGTCGTACGACAATAACCAGTAACAACTATGTCATCTGGAAAAATTGCAGTCTGATGGCATGACAATGACCGTCGCTTGCCACATGGCAGCAATCATCTTCAGAACTGGTGTTTGAACACACGCTCGCACATGCTTGTAGAGTCGTGCTTCGGTTCCTTTCTACCTAATCAGCTTCAGTCGCCCTCAAAGATAAAGACTGGTTATCACAGGGGGTATTGAAAATAAAGTGCTATGGGCTCTGATTGAAAATAAAGTGCTATGGGCTCTGATTTTTTAAATCTTCTTCACCTCATGGTATGCATAAACTAATTACTAAAACTTTGCAGCACACCCAAAAATGTATTTTTTGCCATTCTGACAAAAAATAGGCCTCATTTTGATCCATTCACACTGGATGGCTGCTGTCTGTTGGCTGTTGTCATTTTTTTTTTTTTTTTTTTCTAATTTAACAATCTAAGAAGAGGTCACTGCTCCTGACTGAACAGTCAGGTACTGCATGTTTTAAGAAGTCTTGTGGCACAGCAGTTGAAAATTGCTGCTCTGACATCATGAGTATTTCTTGGCAGTTGCTTATTCTTCCAATCCTTGCAAATGTGATCAATTGTATTGTGCTTGCAGTAAAGTCTACAGATATCCTTGAGCTAGGTGTTGTTTCCGGAAACTTAGAGCCACCCCTCATTTGTCTTCTAAAAACATTAGTCAGCCTCTAACTTCATTTAACATGTAACAAATCATTTATAACATCTGCTCCTTTTGAAACTTGTTCGATGGCGCTCATGCTGTTGCCTATTGTGAAGGAAGTTCCAAAGCGCCAGGATGGTAGCTGTGAGGGAGAAAACACTGGGGAACGAACTGGCTTCTGAATGAGTTGGATTACAGGAGGCAGCTTTTAATTAGTGACCTTTCAAACTGTCCGGTGTTTCATTTCTCCTCCTCTGAAGCATAGTGCATTATTTTTACACCTTTTAAAAATGTCTCAGAACTTTCAAATCAAAGAAATACCTCAATGGCTGATGAAAACATATTCTGATCAATGTCTGAATCCATTCTAATAAAATGACACGTAGTTCAAACAGCAACTTCTTGATGACAGCTTTGAATCAGAATTTCTTGACTATACAGACATCACAATCTGAAACATTTTCTCTGGAGTGAGCTCACATGCAGGTTTGACATATCGTGTTACTTGAAGTACATTGGGGATCAAAAAAGGTGTTAACATGCTCCAGGGGCTTTCAAGTCCTGAGAGTTTCTTTCATTTCCACTGTGACAAAATAGTTATTTTCTTGATGCATTCTTTAACCAGAATAGTCTGACTTATTCAACATTCACATTTTTCTTTCTTTTTATAAATGTTATTTTAAATATAACTTAAAGGGTCTTAGTGATTGAAAAATCACCATCGTGAATATAATTTATTTAAAGTATAGTAAGTTGAAGAACTGGTTATTTAAGCCATTTCTGAACCTCAGTTTGCCCATCTATAATACATTTCATTCATTCATTCGTTTGTTATGTATTTACTCTCGACCCAATTCCAGATAGGATATAAGGTGGCCTTCAAGAACTTTGAAATATAAGAAATAATAAATAGGGAGGGGGAAAAAAGGTAGAAAAGGGAAGGAGAGGTTGAAGACACAGAATGGAGTCTGGAGTGGGCCTAAAACTCACGCCACAATGACCAGCCTGTTTCCTACACTGAGGGCCACTTGTTTGACCCTCGTTTCCTAGAAGCCAAAGTGGAAAGTGAATCCTGCGTAAATCAGTCACACAGCTGCTGCGCCTGAGATACAGAAGAATCCGGTGTTAAGATACATATACCTGTTCTTGGTACTGAGGTCAGACAGGGTTACTTCCCAGATATTCTCCACAGAAAGGACAGGTGACATGACAGACATCATCCTTGCAGCCAGCCATGCCACCCACAGGAATGTCATGGAGCTTTGGAAAACGCCACCAGTGTAGGCTGCTGGACCAGCGTAGAGCTTACATCTAGTCAGCGCAGTTGTGCAGAGGGAGGATGCAGCGCTCCCGGGCCCCCAGCGCTCTGCCAGCCCGGCCCAGGCAGGATCTGACTGTTCTCCAGGCTGCCCTGCGCCCGGGCCACTCTCAGACAAGGTGTTGATGAATATTGCATGGGTCGAACTCCGCCTGGTGCGTTCTCCGGAGGAGCCGTTCCGTGCGATCGGACACGGGCCTCGCCATCTGTCATCCGGGAGAGGTCCTTCAGCGCTTTGTTCCCTGTTCTATTCGGTGGTGCTCGGAGACAGTGGAGATGGGGATTAGACCGTTTCTTGCCACTTTAAGTCGGCCTAGACTACTTTTAGGACTTATATTGAGTCACAGAAATTCTCTGTCTCTTGCTTGAGTGGTAACTGTCAATACTTCTATTTCTTCTTGGTTTTTTGTTTGCTTTTACCTTCTAATTTGCTGTGCTTCTGAACCGAGCTGGACAGGTAATGGGGCGTGTTCAAAGTGCATGTCAGGAGAGGGGCTCGGCTCCCAGCAAGGGTATATCCTATGGGGCAGACTGAAAACTCTGGGCACTTGATGGCCCTTCACTTCTCTCTCTCTTTTTTTTTTTTTTTTTTTTTAATGAAAGATACCCAGAGTTGCAGCTGTGATTAAAACTATTATTATAAGGCCAGCTTCTGGAGGAGTGGAACATTACTAGATATTTAAATAAATTCTTCCTGGGATTAATTTTCTGACAAGCCAGTCTCCCCAGCAATGAGGAGTGGGTGCTCAGAGCGCAGACTCTGGAGCTGGCGGCTGCCTTCACCTCCAGCTTTGCCCTTAACTAGCTGCGTGACTCTGCGCCGGCTTCTCTGTCTGTAAATTTGGATAACAATGCCTCCTTCGTTTTGTGTTGTGCTGTTTCGGTTCATTGATATCTATAATCTACTCAGAACAGTGCCTGACACGTGAAGTGTTATATAAGTGATTGAATAAGAGATTTAAATACCTACTCAGTTTCCCACAGCCCAGTGTCCAACGCTTTAACTCGCTCGTTAATTCTTTCAGTCCACTAGGGGGCCTGGTTTCTGGTAGAGTGTGACACTGAGGCACAATTATAATAGAAGCTTTGAACCACAAGGGGTTAGATTTTTCCCCCCTGAGCTCCAGCATCCTGCCTTAGTCTTTATCTGCTTCCAAATTCTATCCTAATTTCTACTCTGTTCTAAGAAAGGACAGCATCGTGTCTGAGACCAATAAAAATTTTACATAAAACAGAGCAGATTTTTATGTCTCTTTTTCTTGATTAGGTTTCCTTTTTTATAGTTGGGAAAATAACTTAATGTTCATGTGTAAATACTCATTTTTTCAAATTTCTGTCAGGTTAGAACAAACTCAGGTCTCATAAATGGTGATTTTTTTTTCTTTCAACTGATTAGGTAAGCAATGTCAGAAGAGCATTAAAAAAGGAAAAATCAGTGAAGAACCTACTTGGATGTCTGATTTCTTCTAAACTGACTGACTTCTCCCACTCCCCCCCCCCCTCCCCCGAGCTGAATTCATTGGGAGTTTTGGTGTCATGTAGTTTTTACTTTTATTAAAATTAAGAATCAATGTCAGTAATGTTTTAGAAATTTTTATGGGCAGGAACAAATTACAGTGTAGGTGA